CCTGGCACTCCCCACGCCCGGCATCCCGGGGAGAGTGACCCACACCCAGCCTAGCACTCCCCACGTCCAGTACCGTGGGGAGAGTGACCCACGCCGGGCCTGGCACTCCCCACACCCGGCATCCCGGGGAGACGAGTCCCACCCCTGGCCTGGCACTCCCCACGCCCGGCATCCCGGGGAGAGTGACCCACACCCGGCCTGGCACTCCCCACGTCCAGTATCGCGGGGAGAGTGACCCACACCCAGCCTGGCACTCCCCATGCCCAGTTGCCCGGGGAGAGTGACCCACACTCAGCCTAGCACTCCCCACGCCCGGCATCCCAGGGAGACGAGTCCCGCCCCTGGCCTGGCACTGCCCACGCCCGGTGCCCCAGGGAGATGGGGCCTGCCCCTGGCCTGGCACTCCCATGCCCAGTCTGGCACTCCCCACTCCCGCCCTCAGCGGGTACAGGGGGTACAGCCCCGCCCAGTGGTGGGCGCGGTGGCACCGGAGGCACACGGCTCTCTCACTCGGCGGGTGGCACCGGGGGCACACGGCTCTCTCACTCGGCGGGTGCAGGGGGCACACGGCTCTCTCACTTGGCGGGTGACACCAGGGGCACACGGCTCTCTCACTTGGCGGATACAGTGGGCACACGGCTCTCTCACTTGGCGGGTGGCACCGGGGGCACACGGCTCTCTCACTCAGCGGGTACAGGACGCACACGGCTCTCTCTCTCTCTCACCCCCCCGGCCTCCCTACCTTTGTTGCACAGCTCACAGATGTGGTTGGGCCCCTGGCTGTGAACTTTCATGTGGTCCGTGATGTAGGCGGCGCTGAGCATCTTCCCGCACACGTGACACGGCACCTTCTCCTCGTGGCGCACCGTGTGTGCCCGCAGCCGGTCCTTCGTGGCGAAGGCCGCCTCGCACGTCTGGGGGGAGCGGGGCGTTAGGGGGGCCGGCACCCCAGACATCTCCCCTCCCTAGGAGTGCTCTGGGGCCCCTCTAGGGGAGCTGTCCCAGACATCTGGGTCCCAGTCCCGTCTCTGGGAGCAATAGTGGATCCCCTGGGGGAGCTGTCCCGGATGCCTGGGTCCCATACCCGGTTGCAGTCTCTGGGAGAGCTGTGGGACTCCCTAGGAAGCCCTCCCCAGTCCCTCCAGAAGTACTGTGAGGCCCCCTAGAGGAGCCGTCCTGGATGCCTGGATCCCGTTCCCCATCCCAGTCTCTCCTCGAGGAGCCCGTCCCCTGGTGGGGCGCAGGGGGAGGTGGGTGGGTAGGTACCTCACATTTGAAGGGTCTCTCTGTCGAATGCACCTGGCGCACGTGGCTGTTGAGATGGTCCGGCCTACGGGGGAAGCAAATACAGGTCACGGTTTGGCAACGCCCCTGCAGCCCCCCTGAGCCCAGCCCGCGCCCCGCTCGGCTCCCCCCGCGCCGCGACGGCCGTACCGGGAGAAGCTCTTGCCGCAGTGGCTGCAGATGTAGGGCTTGTGCACGGCGCCGTCGTGCGAGCGCACGTGGTAGCTCATACGATCCTTGCGCTTGAAGCGCTGCTGGCACACGGGGCACTGGTAGGGCTTCTCATCCGAGTGCGACAGCTTGTGCCGGTTGAGGTGGTAGACGTCACGGAAGGCCTTGCCGCACATCTCGCAGGCGTGGTTCTTCCGGATTCGCTTGCCAGAGGCCGTGGTGGTTACCAGCCCTGCCGCCCCGCCCCCCTCCGCCCCCGGCGCCGCCCCGCCCCCGCCCGCCCCCAGGGCCGAGACACTCAGCAGGCTGAGGGGCACCATGGTGGGCATCTTCATGGCGGCGGGGCTGGCGCGGGCGGCCTTGGCGCCCGTGTGGATGGCCTCGTGGCGCCGGAGGTTGTAGCCGTTCTTGAACTCCTTGGCGCAGAGCGAGCAGATGTACGGCCCCTTGCTCTTCGACTTCTTCTGGGCCTCGCTGGGCGGGGGCGGCGCGGGTGGCTGGGCTGTGGGGGGCTGGGAGGTGGCCTGCGGGGCTGGGGCCACCTGTGCCCCGCTCCCCTCGGGCCCCGGCTGCTGCTGTTTCAGGGCTGCCGTGTCCACCGTGGAGGCGGCTGGAGCTGAGGCCGTGGCAGCCGCCACCACCGCCGCGGCCGCTGCCGTCTCCTGGGCGGCCGCCAGCACCGGGAGCAGGTCCACCTGCAGGGAATCAGCAGAGGTGGCTGGAGCGGGTGGCGGGGGCGCCGCGGCGGCAGCCTGCGGGGGAGGGAGAGGGGGTTAGAGGGAGGCGGGGGCAGACTCAGAAGGGGCGTCACGGTCAAAACCAACCAGGACAAATTCCAGCCCCAAAGCTTTGGATTTTCCATTGGAAATCCTGGGAAATTCCAGTCCCCAAAACTTCGTTAACAGAGACAAAAGCCTCTTCATTGAATTAATTACAAAGAAACAAACGAGCCTCTGGGAAGTTCCAAGCTCCGGAAGCTTCCTCGCATTATGGGATAAGCAAAGCCTCTTCTTATATTTCTTTAATCCGGGAATTCTGGCCCGACTCAAGTTTGATCACTTCCTTTTGTTTCAAGCCCTGTGACGTTGTAATTCAAAGCCAACGTCATCAGATTTCATTTTAATTATTTAAAAATACATGGAAAAAACTTTTGCCTCCCCAACAACAACTGAAGAAACCAAACAATTTGTTACCTGTAAAAAAAATTCCAGCGCAAAAATTTTTGAAGATTTATTTTAATACAATCTGGGGAAAATCCAGCACAACAAAAATACCGGTCTTTAAAAAACCAAGACACAGGGTTAGTTTGTCCTAGAGATTTGAAGGGTTTTTCAATAAATTAAAAATACTGGAGCTGCAATTTCGCATTTGCTAAAAGATAAAGTGAAATATTTACAGGGGCGGGGGGGACACATTTCAACTAAGAAATCTCCTTAATTTTTATATATATATATATATATATAAAAATTTAAAACAACTGGGATGTTTTAGGTCAAAAAAATTCAATGTACCATTTTCAAAATGAAATGAGAAATTCCAACACAATTTTTTTAAACTTAATTAAGGACAAATAATGAGAAAAACAATATAATGTAATATATTACCTTACATATTTTGACTGCACTTTTTCGTAATACATACAGAATTATATTAGATCTATAATGTAAAATGTCTAATCAGATTATATATATTTTTTAAAAACCCACCCAATTCCCACACACATCAAGCTTCCTTGGCTTATTTCCCTGGAGAAATTCTGAAACAATGAACTCTGTTAAGTTAAAGATTGTTCTGGAATTTCTCACTTTTTCAAATAAATTATTTACAAAAATAAACTGGGAGAAATTTCAACCCAAACCCCGCTCATTTCATTTTAATTGAGGAAAACAACTAGGGAATTCAAGACCAAAAAACTCTCTTAACTTTATTCTGACCATCTAGGGCCCCACTCCTCTGGAGATTTATGCACGAGCCTAATTTTAGCCATGAAAACCTCTTACTAATTTCAATGGGTCAATTTACACTCCTAAAAATAAAGGTGTCGACGACTTTGGAGGCAGGGATGTCTCTCATGAGACAGAGCAAGTGTCAGTCAGATTGGTGGTTGGAACCAGCGAAACCTGACGAGCCTGGCTGTAACTAGCAAAAAGCAATTTGTAGCAATCTTTGTTTATCTAAAGTTAATTCCTTGTCATGTTTTTCGTTAGTAACCTTAACTGTGATCCCCAAGCCCCGTTGCTCGGTACTTCATGTAAGTGATCACGTATCCAGGTAGGAAGATGGCATAATCAATTAGAAATTGTATAATCAAATCAGATGCAATTATGAACTGCAGGACACAGTTAAGGAAATCTATCATGGGAATTTTTGTAACCAATTTGGCCCTTAATCCAGATATTTCTGCAAATACGTTCTTTCTGAGCCATACTGTTCTTGCTTTGCCATTTGTGGCCAGGCTTTACGATAACTCCTGAAAACAATTTCAAGCTAACAAGAGCAGAGTGTTTCTGCTGGACTAAACTCTACGGGGATGAGATGCAGCCACTTCTGGAGATGGATTTCAATTGGCGCCCCCTAGAGGGGAAAGGCCCCAAGTCCCATTCCAGCCAGTGCCCTGCCCTGGGGAAATATCTGACCCAGCACCCCATGGCCCCCGCATTTGCTCACCTGGAAGGGGCTCTGGGTGCAGCCCTGGGAGGCGAAAAACCGGGACTGGATTTCGGCCCCGACCTGGAGGGGATTCTGTGTGTGACTCTGCTAATGTGAGAGGAGAGGTGGGTCAGAGGAGCTAGCGAGGGGAGGGAATGGGAAATACCTGCCTCATCAGTGTGGGAGTTAACTCTGGTCCCTAATGATGGCCACATTTTGTTGCTGATCATCCCAGTGGAACAGTCTCCCCTCCCCCCCAGGCAGTTGGGGACCTGGGGAGGAGGGTTTAGGCAGGGAGGGGGAGGGCGCTGTGTTGTATGGAGAAGTGGGAGGGTAGCCCACAGTGGGGTGGGGGAGGGGTCACAGGGCTAGGAAGGGGTCATGGGG